TCAACTAACTCATGGGGTCATACCGACTCGGCAGTTTTCAAGGACATTTCATTAATGAAGGTGTTTTTTCATTCCACTCCCCTGCGCTTAATTTGCTGATTAAAGGTGATTGCTGAAGGATCTGGCTTTTGTTGGAAGGTGCATGATGTAATAGTCTTTCCTGCTTCTTGATAAATATAATGCATGAAGTATTAGAATGCCATAGCAGAGTGGCAGATGCTAGGGCCCTGATGAAGGATGCTAGAATCCTCTATTGAGTTATCCTACATTCAATGGTCTAGACTCTGTGTGCTACTGCACCTTTTTTTACGGTGTTGGTTTAAGAGGGTTCCCTGGGTGATGCAGAGCTATGGGACTGGTTCTATACTACTACACTGACCTGCAGCCCCTAAGGGGGGAGGAATAGGGTATGGACAGAGAGAACTGCACTCTGAAGCTGGGTCTACACTACCCGCCTGAATTGGTGGGTAGAAATCGACCTCTCGGGGATTGATTTATCGCGTCCCGTCAGGACGCGACAATCGATCCCCGAATCGACGCTCTTACTCCACCAGCGGAGGTGGGAGTAAGCGCCGTCGACGGGAAGCCGCAGAGGTCGATTTTGCCGCCGTCCTCACAGCGGGGTAAGTGGGCTGCAATACGTCAAATTCAGCTACGCTATTCATGTAGCTGAATTTGCGTATCTTAAATCGACCCCCCCCTCCCCCTCCCCGGTAGTGTAGATGTAGCCTGAGTATTTTTGGCTGACAAAAGGTCTCATAGGTGGCTGCTATAAATCAAGAGAGCTTAGAATGTAAAGTTTGTCACATTCAGAATTCTTATATTTGTTAGCAATGATTAGAATCTAATTCTTAAATCATGATTTAAAATGTGTGACGGAATGTGTATGGGAAGCTGATTCAGCTCTTTTGAAATAACCCACAATGTTGTGCAGACACTGCAGTTGTTCTCTGAATTTTGTTTGAATACTTACCTTTGACATCAGTTTAAACCTGATCTATTATCAGAATACAAATGGTGTTGTCTTATTTTCCTCTTTCTGTGTTTCTCCAATGTTGCCCCCATCCAATACAAGCTCTGCACATCATAAGAATACTCAGCAGTTATACAGCAGTTTATACCTTCAAGGGCCTATTCAAACGTTAAGGGCTCTCTCCTGCTCCCAGTGAAGTCAGTGGTGACATTTAGTTGCCATCAATGATACAGGATTAGGTCTTAAATGCCCTGTCATTGCTTTACAAACCATAGCTATACTGCTGTGGAGGTGGGATGCAAAAAGGTACATATCACTTGCAGTTCTTACAGGCAACTGGAATGTCTCCAGTGGGGCAAAAGCCTGTAGAGGTGGTCAGAAAATGGAAACAATCTGTTAAAGTTTTGATATTTTTCACTAAATTGGATTTTGCTCTCATAAGTAATATTATCTCCATTTTAGAGATGAGGGAAAGTGAGGCAGGGGTGAAATGAGTTGCAAGACCACATAGTAAATCACTGGCAGAGTTAGGATTAGAATTCTGGCATTCCTGACCCCCTAATGCTGTACTCGCCGCTAGAATGCACAGTCTTGGACTGCTCATGGAACTTTAGTACCACGTAAAGAAGTATGAAATGGGAAGCTCCTTAAATTAAGATCCTAACTGTGAATACCTGCTCAGTGATGCCATTCAGAAGAGATGATTATGCTTCTTAAAATTACTTTGTTGCATTCTGTTTTCTTTCAACCTATAGACAAGTGAGCACTGATGCTGCATTCTTCTTTTATGATTTCAATATCAACCTACACTGCTGACTGAACACTTGAAAGAGGAAGTAACCTTTCCAAAGCAATCTACTTGTAGTAGATAAAGATCAACCGTTTTGATACCCCTAAGGAAGGAAGGAAAAAGGATGCTCTCTAACTTTTTGCTAGACTAGAGGCCTGCATTAGTTATAAAAAGAAATTATTTGAGGTGGAATAACAGGTAGAATCTAGCCATGCTGAGCATTCTATAGTTTGCCAATTTTTTGTAGTGATCAAGGATGTACTGCAAACCATATGACCAAGGTCTGTGACTGGGAGTGCTTGTAAAATATATTTTCAAAACTATTTATTTTTTGAGAGTGCCTTGTCTTAAGCTACTGTGTAAAGACACCTGTTGACTCTCAGTGAAATAATAATTAAAAAGAAAACCGGTTTTCTGACCATGAGATTCATTCAGTTGACTGGTATTTAATAAGTGCTGTTTATTCTCCAGAAAAAGTATACTGGAAGGAGGAAGGGGGAGAGGAAAAGTGGTATCGCTGCAGTGCAAAGCATAAGGCAGCTCAAGTATTATTCATTAGTTAATCTTTCATTAGTGTAAAAAAGAAAGAAAGAAAACTGGAGACCTTGTAGCCAATAGCTACATTTGTGAGCTCCTCCTTTCTGTTCCCCAATGACAAACAGTGAGAGTAACTGTGCTGAGGGACGGTGTTGCCATGCAGCCCAGCCAGCCAGCCCACTGAACAGGCAGGCTGACCCACTTTCAAGTACCAGCTTTTGCTGACCCTTTGAGTGAGAGTTTCTTCCAAGTTTTTGTTGTTTTCACCCTTTGATTTCTCATTTCTAAAGAACCAATCCCCCCGCCCCCTTCTCCTTTATCTTCTAGCATTCATGGAAGAAAGGCAGCTTGTTTCTTGTGCCTCACTTTGCCTTAGTCAATTTCAGAAAAATTCTCTTTTCGGCCTTGTTATGAACATACTTTGGAAGAAATATGGGTCTTGACATCAACAAAATTATGATACAATTCCACAAGGATCAGAGTAATTCATCTATGAAAAACCCATACTTTAACTGTTACTCTTGGCAGCAGCGAAGGATAATAGTGAAATATTATACTAAATATTGCCACGTGCACTAGTAAAATACAGTATCATTCTTGCCAGCAGCGGTGTGCAACTCCCCCTTTGAGCTCAGGTTTGGATGTTGTGATTTAATCTAACTCTTTTGCTTCTTTTCTATCCAAAACCAACAGAGGTTTAAAGAGAGATGAATTTTTATTGGAACCATTTGCTTAGCCTAAGTTGCCAAAATAATTTAGTTAAAACTGGTGCTTTATTTGGGTTAAAGTTGATCCTTAGCTCCACAGAGGTCGAGGCACTTGGTTTGTCTTGCTCCTTTTGAATTCCACCATGAAGTCTACTGCCGAGTTTTGCCAGGTGAAGTTGTATTTCCTGCCTCCCCACAGTCATCCACGTCTACTTTCATGATTTTAGACAAGTGGGGGAGAAACCCTCCTTAACTCCTTTACCTCATAAATATCAGCCACCACAATTCAAACACAGTGTGTCTTCCAGTTGTTGGGGGTTAAGCCAGAGAAAGAATTGTTGTAACTATAAAGGCTCTGTTGCTGCTGCTAGTATAACATGTGTTAATACAACTCTTCAATTTGTTAATGAGAGACAACTGCTCTAAGATACATCAGAGTATGATACTGAGTACTATGACGTTATTGCCTTTCTTGGGAACAGGTGAAAAAGTACAAAGGGATAGAATTCTGAAAATTAGATAGTAACCAATATGCTACAATTTACACCACTTGAAGACATAGATAGTTTCAAGCACAATAATAAGATATCAATACATATTTCCTTCCAATACATTTTTAATGCCAGGCTATGCCTCACAGTGACAAGTACTATTGACAACATCATTAAGTATCTCTCTGTATGTTCTTGCATGTAGGTTTGGGCCTTTGTACCTCTCTTTATCTTTTTTATATGCATTGTAAATGGGTCAAAACCAGAACCTTGAATGTGAAAACATTTTAATTTTGAGGCAGTCTGGAGTTGAATCCCCATTTTCAAAACTATCCTCTATCGTTTAGGTTCTGGACTGGATCCAAAAACGAACGGGGCCTTTTTTCTGTTTCTAATTCAGATGCAGCGGAAATATCATGGGGCAGAATTACATATTAAATATGTTACGTGGTGGATGTTCTGTGGTCTGGAATAGGTTAAAGCTAGGGCTTAGATTCGAGGCCAAATTTTAGTGTGAAATTGTGTGAAAATTTGATTGCTCTGATACTTTGTGAACTATTCTCAGGAGTTTTTGGCACAAAATGGCATAAATCTCACAAGATAGGCTCATCTTAAAACTTGGGTGGAATTCTCATGAGAATGGAATCAGAAATAGACCGTCTGAGTTTTGCATCCAACCCAGAAATAAAGCCAATAAAGGGTTTAGAAATAGGAACTAGAATTTAAACCATCTTGAAATTCAGAGGTGTTTAGATTCAAGGTCCAATTTTAGCCCATCTCTAAAATATAAGCAGAATTATATGGTATTGCTAGTCATTGACTATGATGGTATGTATATATATCTGTAACAGCTGGTCAAAACCAGTAAAACATTTAGTGAGAAGTTTTCAAAATTTCAAAAAACTCTAGACATTTTAAAAAATGTCTGAGTGAAAACTGGGATTTCTGTCCCTTGAGACAGTCTGATATTTTGACACTTGTTTTCATCCCAAATCAGGGCAAACAGCTGAAATATCAAAGCCTTCTTTGTGTAGAATGAAATGTTCTGAAAAAATTTCTATTCAGTAATGTCAAAATGTTCCATTTCTCCATTTTCAATCAAAATCCCTTATATTCCCGAATTGAAATGTTTTATTTCAGGTTTGCTTGACATTAAATTCTGTGACCTTAATAGCAAGCTAGACCATCTGTACACCTGTGCCTGGAAGACACAAACACCTGGTTAAGATACTTTACTGCCTGCTTTGTGCTACCAACGTAGCAAAAAGTAGGCAGAAAGGGTTGACCAAAATTCAGTCCATAATTTTTACTTTTCTAGTAATTTCAAATCCCAGTCTTTAAAGGAGGAGAAGGAACATCTCTCTTTTGTTAATGAAAAAGACCAAAAGCTGCACATACTGCAGGTGACAGACAAACCATCTGAGATTATTTCCCTCAGCTTCGCCTTTAAATGTCAGATTTTGTTTTTGCCTGTCATGGTGAATAAGAAAGGAAGCTCTCACCCTTATAACCAGCAGCATTGGTTTTCCAGTCATTAGAATTCAGATGTCCTGCACGTGAAGTCCTTACAATAATATGCTGTACGTCTCTCCAGGTCAGAGATGGACTAAGGAAAAGGACAAAGACAAAGTGAAAATCAGATTTTTCTTACCAAAAAGGAAAAAAAAAGTTACACAAGTTAAAAAACAAGTTTCAGAGTAACAGCCGTGTTAGTCTGTATCCGCAAAAAGAAGAACAGGAGTACTTGTGGCACCTTAGAGACTAACAAATTTATTAGAGCATAAGCTTTCGTGGACTACAGCCCACTTCTTCGGATGCATATAGTGGGCTGTAGTCCA